AGCTCCACANCCGGTCTCTTCACTATCTTTGAGGACATTTTGATTGGCTACCTTGAGTAGTTTAGGCGCTTTAGGATGTGACACTCCCTGTTGTTGCCTCATCATTCGTCCATAGTTTTGTTGAAAACGCCTTTGTTGAGTTCTAGTCATCTCATCGAAGGGTATTGCCCTTCTTGCATTATACTGGAATGAATGCCATACATTTGGCCGATGAGGTTGCGGCCCGAATGTTCTTCCATTATCTGCTGGCCTGAAGTGCCTCTCAAAAGGCGGTCCTCTATAGAATGATGTACCTCGCCCTCTACCAGATTGAGTGTTTGGGAAGAAAGTAGGGCGATGGGGATGCTGCCATATCCCTAGTTTCTCCGTATTTCCATTCACTTCTCTTTTACATCTTACACACAGGACGTCTTCGTCCTTTTTTGGTTCTTTCCCCTTGATTCGTTCAAAGACACTGGGATGTGGTCTAGAATCCTTTTCTCCATCATCTACGACCAACTTGAATTTTGGCAACTTATTTTTGAAACCAGACGTCACCATGTTCACTCCAAGTGGCTGTGGAAAAGGATTTTCATCCACTGCCATCTTCTTCTTATCGTCGAACGTAATTCGTCCTGATTCAATGACATCCTGCAATACATGGCAAAAAATCAAGCAATTGTTAGTCAAATGTGACCATGCATTATGCCACTTACAATATTTTTTACCCTTAATTTGTTCAGGGTTTGGCAATTTGTGCTTATCGCTCAACTTTATCTGTTTATCCCTATATAATTTATCAAATATAAGGTCAGCTTTGGTTACATCGAACGAGAACGTTCTAGCCTTTATGTTTCCATCTTTTATGGGCTCATCTTTACCCGATGGTCTAGGCTTGGCCATTATGGGACAAGTATACGTATCTCCTTTGACCATTTCGGCCAAACACATTTTGACCTGATCGTATGACTCGTCGCTGATGGTATGAACATCAAAATTTGGGTCTTTGTAATAAGTCCCTTTACTAGAATTTTTCATCTGTTCTTCCTCTCTTATCAGTCGTTCATACTTAATCACATTCGCACTCAATTGGAAAAGGTCAGGAAGTTCCTTGTCCTGTAATTTCTTTTTTAAATCAAAACTCAAGCAGCCCTGAGCGATTTTGACAAATTCTTTTTCGGGCAGAGGTACAAAACACTTGCTTCTTGCTGTCTTGAACTTTTGGAGAAAACTTTCTGCCCATTCGTTTGGCATTTGACGTAGATTCGCCAAATCAGCCAAAGTGACTTTAGACTCAGTTTTATAAAACTGAGCGTGAAATAACTGTTCCAATTATTGCCATATTTGAACAGAGTTCGCTGGCAAGTTGATGAACCAGGAGAAAGCTACTCCTGTTAATGAACTAAGGAAAAGCCTCATTTTACGGTAATCAGTTACATCACCACTTTGCAATGTGAATCGCCCTATGTGTTCTAGAGTAGACACCTCTCCTAAACCGGTAAACAGTGAGAATTCTGGCACTTTATACCCTCTAGGCCATGGATATGCTTGGTCTACCCAATCAGGATATGGCTTTGTGTAAGTCGGCCTAATGACGGGACGCACCCCAAAAGCCATCTGATCCTGTACGATTTCCATAATCTGATTCCTCAACATGACGTTGAGGTCATATGAAATTCCTACAGGTTGGTTAACCGGTTGATTTGCATGAGGCCTGATGTTTGGTCCTTGATTGACAACAAAGTTACCATAATTAGAGTCATTACCATTAGCCTGAACATCTATTCCCTCATTAACACGTGGGGTATTCTGTCCATTGTTTAGGATATTATCTCTTATATTTGGATTACCCCCCAAGTTAGGCGTACCACTACCATTGTTCTGATTTGACATTGCAGTACCCCCTTGGTTTGAAGTAGAGGGACCAGAAAGTGGTTCTATCCCTTGATTCGGATTTAGGACTGAGGGATTATGTCCCACAATTGTCCTAGTTTGAAAATGATTTGCAAGAGGTATAACCGGTTAACATATTTGGCCTACTAATTTATTCATTGTTTCGTTCAAAGTGTTTAGTTGTTTGGCCATGTTGTCATAGTGTGCATTCCCATTTTGGGTAAATCTTTCCATATTATGAATACTTCGAAGATTTACCTGTTCAACGACGTCTTGTGTGAGTTCTTCAAGTAATGCATGCATGGTTCGAGGACTCAACTCCGTCATTGGTTCGTAACGACTGTTACTGCTCTGATTCTGTCCATCTGTTCGTGGAGAGGCATGCTGCTTCTCATATCGCTCGATCACAGACTGGATTCCTCCCTGATTTGCTGCTTCCTTATCGGATCTCTGAGGCATATTGTTTCACCTTTTGTATTTTCAACACCAAACACCACTGTCCCACTAGGCGTGCCAAATTGTTTCGCGTGGGTTAGTCGCTAACAATTAAAAGGGATCAGACGATTGTGTAAGGGACAAACGTCTTAAAACAAAGTCCCAAAAAGGGGTGTTCTTTTATTGGCGATGGCTTTACAATTGGAAATTAAAAACAAAATGCCTCCAAGGGGCGCAAGCACACGAGTTACTGAAAAAAGTGTTTAAGTCTAAACTAAGGAATTTAAAATTACATGTTCTCTGTTTGAGAGTTTTTGATTCGGTCCTTTGCTCTATGTCTTTTCTCCCTTTTATACTCCATGGATGATCTCTTTGTGATCAACCGCCTAAAAACTGTTTGATCGTTCTACAACTGCCCACTTTCCTCGTAATGGCCAGCTTGTCATGAAACCGCATTTTTTAACTGCTGCCATTACTTTTCGTCGTTCAACCGTTTTCGATTGAATTCCTTGAATCGTGAAACGTGATAGGGCTGCTTTAATAACTGCTTTGATAATTGCACTTCTTGATAACCACAACACTTTATGTTTGCTAAGACCTTGCGCGACTTGAAGGTTTGGGCGAGAATAGAGTAACAGCTCTGGGCGACTGCATGACACTCCATTCGCTCAGATTTTGGGCAACTTGCAAACTTGGGCGATGGCGTTACCGCGTTCTTGGGCCTCCTTATTTGGGCCTTCATCTTGAATTGTTTGATTGGACTTCGTTCTTTGGGCTATCTGACTTGGGGATCCTCCAATTGGGTTTCATTCCTTGGACCGTTCGATTTGGGCTGAATTTTTATGTGTCAACAATACTAATTTTCCTCCTCGGACCTGTACTTACAAGATCAAAATTCCAAACAAGAAGCCCTATTAAAACCATACTTAGGGCATGCCTTTAGCACAGTTTCTCCAAATACTAGCCAATCTAAAGTTGGAAGAATTATTTATTTTCTATTGTTTTAATATTTTTTGGTTGTTTCAATATTTCAGAATAACATAATGCCATTTTGATAAAGACTGAAGAATAGATTATGGTTCTTGAAGAAACAGTAAACAGATAAAATCAAGGATAACACTAGGCAAATGGATGAACATTCTCTAGGTACAAAGAAACGGAGGCCAAAGCCAATCATCACCTAAGCGGACAACTGAATATATGCAAATTTATGCTCTCTATAGTTGACATGCATATTAAAATTATGCTTCATTATAGCACCTTCACCCACACTTAAGAAGTGAAAATCACAAATATTTCAACACTTAAACACACTTTAAAAATGCTAAATAGATGTAAGAGCTGAGAAAAAATATGAGTTTAAATTGGATTGATTAAAATAAAGTGAGTGCCGAAATACAAAATATTCACGAATTAATGCAAATTCGGTGCCAAATTATTAACAGAGTAAGAGCCTGTTTGTTTGCCATTTCTTTTGCCATTTAATGAATTTTTTTACCGTTGCAACAAATACGTCTGACAACCCATGTGCCGCCCCTGTTTACCACTTTTCTCGTTTTTTCCATTCCCTGCCCTTACTCCCCAAAACGAAAGAAGAGCCTCTCATCCGCAGCCGCCGACGAAAAAGCAACAGACCGAAGCTGCCGCCAACGACTGGAAATCGACGGTGGGTTTTCGTCACTTGCAGCGGCCGGGCGACATCGGATTTGTTCTACGAAGAGCCCGCCAGTTTTGAAGGACGCGCGCACCACCGAGACCGCCGCCGAATACTGCTAGTCCCCCGTCCGGTTAGCGACTTCCTCCACACCCAGAAGACCGCCGACCACATGGATCCCGCCCGCACACCGGTAGGTCCACGACCACGAACTTCTTGCACATTTTGTATTTTCGCTTAACAAAGATGCTGCCGGACATGATTTGAAGCTCACACAGTTCCAATTGCTTTGTTAATCTGCAATTATACGTACCAATCTACGTTGTTGGATGTTTAGGAGTATGACTTTGGGCATATTTTACTTTGCGGCTGTTCGAAATTTGTCTGTCTTCTTTGTCCGCATCTACAATCCCTTAATCAGTGCGCATCAATTCTGTGTTGTGTATTTGTTATTCTGCAATTATATGTACATATCCACGTCGTCGGATGTTTTGGAAACTGATTTCGGCCGACATTGATAGTGTGTCTGATCGAAGTTTGCTGCCTCTGTTTAATATTTCGAACTTCCTTATGCGTTGCGCCACAGTTTATTTCAAAGTAGCAGTACATGGTTTGTTGTCTATTTGTTCACCTCTATTTATATGTAGTTCTCAAGTGTTGTGGAAGTTTGTATTTGTTAACGTATACGTATATGTAATTCTCAAATTCAGTTGTTGTTTTCGCATATGATTGTCGGCCACCATTGATATTGTGGAAGTTCGAAATGCACTTTCCTCGTGGTGCGAATGTCAACTGCCATATGCATTGCGCTACTCGGTTTTCCCATTATATATTTGTTTGTCCTTACAGTCATGTACGAAATCCGTCCCGTGACCTCTAATTCTATAAACAGAGCCAAGAATATTTTACAGACTTCAAATTCTTATACTGCAGATTACCGTTATACGTTTATTTTTTTTTCTTTTTGCTTGATGTCCGACTTGTCTTTGCAGTGTGGACATGGCCCGCCTCCCAGCTCCTTCGTTGCACAGGGGTCGGGTCAAGGCTCTGGTGCAAAAACTTATGCTCGATGGAATGCCTTGGAGACCCAAACATTCATTTCAGCTTGCGAGACCGCCATTGCGGAAGGCCATCGCAGCGGGCGGTGTTTTACGAAACAAGGTTGGTCCTGAATCTCAACGCTGTTCAACTCATCCACTGGGCACAACTGGACAAAGCAACAACTACGCAACCACTGGGACGCCATGCGTCGAACCTACCGGCGTCTCTTCGATCTATTAAAGGGTACCGGGGTCGAGTACAACGAATCCACGGGTCGAGTCGTCGCATCAGAGGAATGGTGGAACAGAAAAATAAGGGTACCTTTTTCACTTCGAGTCACACATTTTCTCACAATACGTAACCACACACTACCTTTCAGTATTTTTCACTATATTTGGAATGCCGTTCTCGTATCTTCCCTCTTTCTTGTCCCTATTTTCACAGGAGAATAAAGACTACAGGGAGTTCAAAGACAAGGATGTGAGCGAGATATACGTTCGCTACCGAACACTTTTTGGCGACAGCTACGACGGAGAGAAGTACGCGGTCACGCCGACTAAGTTGTGCAGAACGGGGTTCGGGTTGTTTGAGGACAGTGCGCTCGAAGACACTCGGGATGCAATCCCCGTCGACGAGGAAAGTAGTGGTTCAAGTGACGAGGCAGAACAAATGGTCGGTGGATCCCGCTTTAACGTATCCGACACCACAAGCGGTGGTAAAAGAAAGTCGTCCGATGCGACGCGACGGGGTAAGAAGAAGAAATCATCTGCACGAGAGCTGTCGTTCTCAGTCGACCGCGCCACAAGTGCTACGGAGGAAGTGGTGGCGAAGCTGAATACCATGATGGGATCACATGACGACAGCGGCACTGCCTGTATAGAGGAGCTACTGGCGTCTGGACGTCTCGAACGACGTACCCCTCTTTACTTTTTCGCCTGCGCTATTCTCGCGAAAAAACATTACCGAAACATGCTCGCCGTTATGAAAGATTTGGATGAGAAATTTGAATGGATTCAGTGGCTTTTCAATGAGCGTGGCAAGTAATTGTACATTTATCAGTACTCGTTACATGTTGTTTTTTCACGAAAAACTGTTGCGCTTTCCTACTAAAATGACTTTAGCGTTTCAAAAGTATTGTATGTAAACGCGCTGCGTTAAAGTGATGTGCGAACCGTGTTTGCCTGTGCGCCATGATCATTTATTCGTGTTTGTATTTTAGAATGTGCAACAGTTCATCTCGAACATCTTGTTAAACGACAATTTGGACAAGTTTGCCTCGCGTAGTTCCAATGTACGCAAAGCGACCAGTTTGGACGTAAAAAAGAAAAAAACATTTTCCGAACATAAAACTTGTGTAATTTTAAACGCTGCCACGAAAAGTTACTGAGCAGATACTGGATATAAAAAAAGGATTTTCTACAAAAAAACACGTGTCACGAGAAAGTTGAAGCTGCAGGTGCACCATTATTGGCGCATGTCATAAAAGATGCCAGCTATAGGACACTAATGAACACAGTCTGTTTAATTTATTTTCTAAGTTCACAATTATTGATACAGTGTTTCGACAAAGACATCTGAACTAAGCAAGTGCACAGAATTTACTGCCAGTGATTCCCACTTTATATAAGAAGAAATGCACGTTGTAAAACACCAAAAATGTGTCTGCACAACGGAAGCTGTCGTTCAACAAACCTCCTCATCTCGCTGCCGTTGTGTAATTTTACCAAATCATCATGTCTTGTGTCACAACTGACGTCGACTTCAACTACGTTCTGGGCTCCGACTCGGATGACGAATGCGACGATGCCGAGGTTTTGCACACCCTGGCGTTCGATGCCGTGGCATGGCTTTCGTACTGCAGAACCGCCGGCGATGACGCACGAAAATATCACAACAAGCAACAGCGGCGTATACGACGTTTTCCTTTCTCAAGGAACGATCACATGTTCATGATGGAGGCCATGGGCGAGAATAGTAAGATGTGCTTTCAAGAATTCCGTATGTATCCTGCAATGCTTAGACATTTTGCTCATGTGTTGCGCGATGAGCATGGGCTACGTATGAGCCAACATGTTGACATCTACGAGCAAGTTGGCATGTTCTTATGCGTATTAGCGCACGGTAAGGGATATCGACAGGTGACAACAATTTTCAACCATTCACTGGAAACGGTTTGTCACTACGTGAAGGAGGTTCTACGTGCGGTCATTGCGCTTTCAGCGCGCATGATTCGTCCGAGTGAGAACTACAACGACGGTGTCGAGCCCCATAGGCCTGATCTTAGCAAGCATCCATTGTTTGACGATTGCATCGGAGCAATTGATGGAACACATGTGAAAGCCGTTTTACCGCGACATGAGCGCGTAAACTTCATAGGGAGGAAAGGTGTGCCGACACAGAACGTGTTAGCAGCTTGTGACTTTAATTTATGTTTTACGTTCGTGCTTGCAAGGTACTCTGGCAATACACATGATGCGCGCATGCTAGCACGTGCTATCCATGATCCGGAAATACATTTCCCATTACCGGCGACAGGAAAGTACTATTTAGTTGACTCAGGGTTCGCTCATCGGCCTGGGTATATGGCCCCCTACAAAGGGTCTGACATACTTTACCATTTCCAGCAATTTCGAGACGAGAGAACGGGACGTCGTCGTAGATTTCGAAATGCGCGTGAGAAGTTTAACTTCAGGCACTCGTCCTGCAGAAATGTCATTGAACGTGCCTTCGGAGTGTGGAAAGAAAGGTGGAAGATCCTGGACCGCATGCCCAGCTACCCGTTCCGAACGCAAGTAGCCATTGTAGTTGCGACGATGGGAATACATAACTTCATGAGACGTTCAGGAGTGGTTGACGATGCGTTCACGAGAGCGGAGGTGGATGAAGATGTAGCTGAGGTGGAGCTGCCGAACGTGGAAGATGAGACGCAAGCCGAAATACATGCACCGGAAATGCAGCGAAGTGAGTGGGACCGACTTCGAGATTATATGGCGCAGCATCCATGATTCCAATATGTTTCTAAAATATTCACTAGGCTTGCATGTACGCCTTACGAAAATGGTTGCTTTCTTTGGTGTAAAAAAGTGAAATGCAGTAGGGGCCAATTATTGAGAAATGTGGTTGGTTTACTGGGTGTGAAAAAGTGTAGACAAGTATTTCTCTTCGTCCACGTGCCTACGGTTTGCTTTTTCTCGGTACAATGAACCTTCAAATTTTTATTCGGAACAACGCAGGTGTACAGTGCTTCGTACGCATAACCACTCACTTTGACGTCGTATTTTCCCTTCATCGCGAAAACACCGTCACTGTACTCGTCGCGTAACAAATGTCGCCGTGAAATTCCATTTTTTTTGTTACGAAGCGTTTCGGCGTAAACGTCAAATGCTTCTATTCGTACACGGTCTCGAGAGCAGTTTATGAAGTGACACGGTTACAAGTTTCCGTATTTATATTTTCCGAAGCTAATTTTGTATAACACATAACCCGTTGCGTACAGAAACATTTTATTATGTACAACGAACATCTACGTTACAATTTGTGTACAATTTAATTTTAACATGGTCTGTACCCTTTTTCGTTTTCGGAATTTATTTGGGGAAATTCGGTAATTAACGTGAACTGAAAATCACGGTCCGTTCGCGTAACGTAACACTCGTTGTAGGATTGCTGTGACAACCTCATACACGAATTAGGGG